CGACCTTGTTTATTTACAGACATGCCAGTCATTAATAAATCGGCACTTGGCAACCGATATTTTTGGCAATGGATTCTCAAAAACAACAAAAGCCATTCAAGCTGTCAAGTCGCCTCAGCGCTTGCCAATATGTTGATTATACAATAAAAAAGCAGACAATCCGCCAACTAATTGTCAATGGCAACTGTTTTCCTCAAAACTCTGTAGTGTAGTGGTGTTGTTGAACAGAAAACGTTTTTGGCCTCAATTTGTGTGGCGCCAAGCCATAAAGTTGAACAACCGCAAGTCCTCAAGCCAATACAGTTCCGGCAATGTCTGAATATCGACACAAAAATGCCACTGCTATGCCTACTCGTATAAAGGCTAAAGGCTTTGCTTCCAATACACGATGATGATTTCACTATTGGCCGCAACGACAAAATCCGCTACAGCCAAACGCCGTATTGATCAAACAGACATTATGTTAAACGGTAGAGCAGTGGCGGCGTTTATGTTGCAAGGGAAAGTGGGTAACGGAAAAAAAGGACATACAAATTCCCAGAAAGTGTAGTGCTTGTATATTGGAAAATTATTTAAAGAACAGAACTTTAAATTCGTGCCAGCCTGACTCTTCAAAGCCCTATACTCATCCTTTTCCCCCGCTATACCTTTTTAGTTGTGCAAATCATTTCTACAGCTATATGTAGAGTGCACCGATTTTGTTCAGTATTTTATAAAGCTCTATATAAAACTTAGAAATGCAATTTTTCTAAAGATAGCTTTATAAACAAAGCAGTTAACACCATAAGAGTGATTTCCCCAGAGTTCGTTTCTACAACAGCAATAAAAAATATTGGGGATTTATATAGTTTGTAATTAACTTAATCTGCGTATGGATAAAACAAGTCCAATTGTTATGTTTCTAAAGTTATTGATATTCATACAGACAAACACCTGCACCTGAACCTGTATAAGATGGGATCTGAAAAATATGATGCCACTGTTTGTTAAATATTAAATTTTTTTAGCAGCACTCATTTGAAGTTTAGAAAATGAAAAAGAAATGGAAAAATCAATCGAACTTATACATTTTTAAAGGGCTTTTTATTTGTTATAAAACAAGCTTCAAACAAAAATGAACTACTGAGTATCTTAATCGAAATATTTTAATTGAAAAAACAATTAACTTTATGGAAAGGATTCTGCATATTCAACGATTACTATGTAATCATATAAAAAAAGACGTCAATATCATCATATTGCATATAATTTATCATTCAATGTTTATCATATCATATTTTTGCAATTTTTTTTAGAAAAATGTCATCATATCATAAAAAAATGGCGTCATATAATTTATCATTCAATGTTTATCATATCTTTGCAATTTATTTAGAAAAATGATTACTAAAATATCCAAATGATATTTCTATGTAAATTTGATATACCCAGATAGGGCAGAGAATTTTGGTTAATTGTGGCAGCAATAACTATTGAATCATCGAACAATGAAATGCCTTTTAATTACGATATGTTTTTATTTCAAATTCTTACTGAAATTTATTGTTAAGTTATTACTTTGAAGTAAAACATTTGATACGAAAATATTCGTGTATAAGTTCATCAACATTCATTGAAATATTTGGATCTGTAATATTAATTTGTGGTATTTAAAACAAAAACGGAAAGACAATAAAAACACCTAAATTTTTTTGAATGACTCACTATTTTACACAAAAGAATTTATCGTTGAAAGAAATGCGCTTTGATGCGACGAAGGCCTTTTAAAAGGACCTCACTGTCGAGAGCTCTGTGACCTGCTCAGCTGATATGCGTTGGAACCAGACTTTCCTTGTGTTTGGTGACCCCCACGTGGCTGCGTCCCTGTGGCACTGTTTTGGAATTTCTGACACGGCACACCATGGCACCAAAGACATTAAAAGCCCACTAAACTATATAAGACGAACCTATGACCCCTTCCCTTCTTCCCCAAGTCCGCAGCCGTGCTGCCAGCACCCAATGAGCGCGGCGCATATCAAACAAATCCGTTGACTGGTGGCGTCATGTCGACAAGTTGGTTCAAAAATTGAAATGAAAAAAAAAGTATACCGAGTCTATAAAAGCCTTCACTTGCAGACGGACGCGTTTCAGTTGCCCGTGATTCGTGTCGTCCTTCTGTCGCCGCTCACTCACTCACTCACACACCGCTCGAAAGGAACAATTAAAGTGCAACCGCAAGGCGGAAGGAAGTGCATACCACAAGTGTTTCCTACAGACCTCCAACATTTCAAGTGCCTGTCTTTGTGTTTTCATTTGCATGTCAGTCCAATTATACACAAATATTGTGTGTATATATATATGTAGTATATGTATATATAAAGTTTTCACTTTTGGCGCAAGTCGAGCTACAAAAACCTCAAGTTTGTGTTTTGTGTTGTTTGCGTTGTCCTATGTCGGTAGCGTTGCTTTTGTAAAATGAAAACTGAAAATTTGTTCAAGTACGGCGCTCCTTTGTACAATTTGAAAGGTACTCGGGCTCAGTCACAAATTCAACCACAGCGCGAGAACAACAATTGCAACAACAACAACAACAAAAACGACAACCACAACAACTTCTCGCTGACAAGTGAAAATTTGCGAAAATTGACGCGCAACTCGGGCTACTCGGATAAGGATCGTGAAAGCGTTGGCAGCTTCAGTAGCGCTGCGGGCCGATCCAAGAGGCGTTCGAGGTGGGTATAAAGAGAGAAACAGAGTGCACTGTTGCAATATCGTAAATCGAGCAATCGATAAAGAATTGATCGATAAGGAACTGGTTTTAATGATATGCAAGAAAAGTAAATCATTTTAAAAATAAAAAAAAGCTATATCGGATTTACCCAAGAAGTTGGCTCTTTTTATACATTTTGATATACCTTTGATACTGTGTGAAGACTATTAGAAGTCAACAGTGATAAGAGCCCTTTGTAATATTAAAACAATTTAATATTTTTCTACAAAAAAAAAACATTAAAAATAAATGAAATAATTTTAATATTTTGCATTTAAAACTTATAATAATAGTGCTCTTAATGTGGGTTCTAAATGATTAATATAATAAAATCTAAGCCCTTTATTCATTTTTTTTATTATTTATTTATTTTAATATTTAAATAAGATATTAGTATTAACAGAACGAGTTTTCTTTTATATTTTGTTATACATCTAATAAATTGGGAAATCAAAAACAGGAATGGTACTGTGCAATTAGAATTAGAAAAGGCAATATTATATTAATATTATTATAACAGTATGTTAACTAATTTATTTGTAAACAAATTGTTACGCATATTTATTAAAATTATATTCAGGAGTAATATGCGATTGTATTAATATTGAGTCCAGTATGTCTTACTGAAACTTCTGCCAGAGAAGAAGCATTTGCTTAAAATTCTGTCTGATAAAATATTTTCTATTTAAATTTTTAATATTAATACATTTTTGTTACTATTTAAAAACATAAAAATAAAAAGAAAATATAAAAGGGATAAAAAAAATTCATAGGATAAAATCAAGAGTAAAGATTTATTATTGAGTTAAATTATTAAATTAAATATGTTGTAAAAAACAAGATATAGAAAATAGTTTTATAATTTTTATTTTTTAATTTTAAAATTATTAGCGATTCGTGCAAGCCGATTAATAATTCATAAAAATTTATATAATCAATAGTTTAAAAAATTAAATTCAATTGTCATTTTTACTAATTTTTTTAAAATTTTTTTGTCAATTTTCTTTTGTTTTTGCAGACATTTCAAATTTGTATTTTCTGAAAAGTTTTCAAAAATTTAATCAAATTTGTTTTAATCAAATATATATTAAATATTATTTTTTTAATATTATATAATAATATATTAGATAAATTAAATTAATATTTTTCTTCAATTTTTTTGTATATAATTTATTTATATCATTTGTTGTAAATAGATACATTTTTTGCAACTTCACATTTTTTCATTAAATAAACAAAAACAGCAGCATTAGATTGTCAACTATTTATATAATAATAATAATTATAATAATAATAAGATATTATAATCGAATTACATTTCCAAGATAAATATTTACTTAAGTAGAAGAATATTTAATGCCTTTTCTGTCTATTCTGATTATCCAGATTAGTATAGTATATTATAGATTTTGTAATTTACGTATTGGCGTCAAATCTTGAAATATGCGAAAAATGTGATAATATTCAAACTCTGGGAGGTGGGTGATAATTAATTAGAAAGATTCCATAACATTGTTATTTACAAGTCAATCTAATAAAAGCCTAAGCTATTTCTAATAGGACTCGTATTCTGTTGGTATGTTCAACATTAAATCTTTCTTCGGTTTTCAATAGAGGGCGCTAAATGTAATTTAAGAATTTTAAAGCTAATCTGAAAACTCTGAGCTCGCTTTATAAGAATGAGGCAATAAAAAGGATTATCCCTTGAGCATTTTGAAATCAAAGTTAACAAAAAGAATAGGGAAGTGTAATAATTGGAAACAACAACTAAGAAACAGTTGGAAAAAGCATATTTTTAGTTGCAATTTCTGCCAATATTTACGCATTTGAACTGTTTTACCCAGAAACCCTAAATACACTTGCCACAGAAAGGGATTGCACAACCCCCAAAGGATGGGAAAACGGGGCGCGTTCACTGAACCGTGACAGCTACGCATATACACAGAGACACTATATACTAGTAGGGGTTTGAAAGCCCGACTACTTTTTGTATTTTGGCCAAATCGTTGTCCCGGTAACCAGCGACAATTTGTCACCCCTGAAACAAAAGGACAGCCTCAGTGCCTTGCCAATAGGCGCGGCATGCGCTCGATATCGAGAAAGGAAAAAGTTTTTCAATTAACAAAAAAAAAAAAGGCGAAGAAAATTTATAAAAATGTGATATCCAAACATAAATATTCAATAATTCCTAAAGTGCACGCTTCTTCCTCCCTTCGTTCTTTTGGAACATTTCTCGTTTAGAAACTTCTCGATGAAGTGCTCGAAGGGCATCAGCAAGAAGAGCAAGACCATGGATTATACGAACTACGCCTATAATGAGGCCGTGGGTCGCCTGAAGGTAATGCTGGCGGATAATAACTATACGGCCACGCCCAAATTGGGCGCTACAGCGAGTTATATGCGCAGCTTTAACGAGGACTCTGGCGATAATTTCTCGGACAATTTATCGGTGAGTTCTGAGAACCTATGGAGCAGCACTCCATCCATTCTAAATTCGGTTTATTCGATAGGTGATTGAACGACCTGTTTTCTCGGACATCTCGAAGTACTTGTCGCCTAGCCAGAAGTCACGCATGACGGCCTATCGGCCCAAGAAGACTTACGGCGCGGGCTATGGCTTGTCGACTTCCAAGGAGAATCTGACGGGCGGCTCCATGTATCAGGGAAGTACGCCAGTGGTTACGGATAGTGTTCAGGCGCCCGTGGAGATATTCAACTTTATAGAGAAGCAGGAGGATTACATTGAACAGCTGGAGAAGGAGTCCAAGTATTGTCGGAATGAGTTGACCAACTTGCTGGGCAAAGTCAAGGATGTGATCAATGAGAACGAACAGCTGACGGAGAATGCGCGCAGCGAACTCTCAGGCAAGCCACAGGCTGTGGTGCACGCTTCCACCACCAGTCCGTCCTCGGATAGTGATGAGCATTTGCTTTATGCGGGACGCAAGACCCCCAGCACTCCCCGCAAGACGGTGAGTGTGAAGAGTCCGCGCTACGCCAGCGCCCCCAACATCGTCTACGAGGCGCGCATCAGCGAGCTGGAGGCGGAGCTCATGCAGGCGAACATCGATCTGAAGCGGGTGAGGGGCGAGAACGAGGAGCTGAAACGGAAGTTGGCTAACACGGACCCCCTGCTGGGCAGCGTGAATTGCGAGACTCATCGCAAGCAGCTGGAGCATCTGCAGGCGGACAAATCCGCGCTGGAGGACAGCGTTCGTCAGCTGCAGAAATTGCTGGACGAGTCCAAGTCGCAGCAATACAATAGCACCACCTCGAAGCGCTATATCAACGATCTGGTTCAAATGGAGCGCTCCCAGGCGGAGCTGGAGGTGCGACATCTGCGCGACGAGCTCGATAGGCAGCACGAGCGCGTGCGTGAGTTGCAGCACGAGATGGCCCGACGTATTGCCGAGGAGCGCGCCAGCGCCGAGCGACGCTACAACAATCAGGTGGACCAGCTGGGCGGCGATCTCAGCAGCCAGTGGGAGCAGGTGGCGAAGCTCCAGCTGGAGATAGAGCGTCAGAAGCGCTACGAGACGGACCTCAAGCGCGATGTCGCCAATCGGAACTCTCAGATCGAGGAGCTGAAAATGGAGCTGCGCGCCAATCGAACCACTTTCCTCGCCGACATGGCGCAAGTCAATGCCGAGAAGCAATCTCTGGAGCAGGAGATAACGGCGCTACGCTTGCAGCTGGATCGGGCGGCGCGGGAATCCAAAACAGAGGCAGCGAGACTTAATGCTGAAATCAATTCATTGCGTCAGCGTTTGGATCGTGGCGATGCCGATCTGTTGCACTCGAAACGTGAAGTGCTGCGTCTGAACGATGAGATTGCCAATCTGGAAAAGGAGGCAAGTATCCCCAATCCAATACGATACAAATGATAATATATAAAGGTTTACTATCTTGGTTTAAAACTAAGATTATTGATATCCTATTCCCATATCGATATTATTTTTATTTTGGAACTAGAGTAAAATTTTAATCAATAATATAACTGCTATATTTTTATTTGATATTACAGATATAAAGATCATTTTAATATGATTCGAATATCGATTATCATATATCAATACACTTAAGATATAAAAAGCTTTCAGGAGAGATTAATAGGCTGTAGATATTTTAAAAACTAAATTTGAATGCAACATTTTTTTGTCGATATTTTGAATATGTATCGATTGACATTATGATATTTTTATACGATAACAGCCCATCAATCGATATTCAAATGTTAATTAGAAATGTTAGTTTCGGGGAAATCAATAATTATTTATGTTCTAAGTGCTGGATTGGAATATTCATATATTCTAAGAATCCACTGTTTTGTAGGATTTATATTTATGTGGAATTATATTCTTAAATATATTTTTTTCACTCACACAGCTAGCATATGGTGAGCTGAAGAACGAAATACGACCCACCAAAAAGGATTTGGATAAACGTATCTCGGAAATGCAGGACAAGCATGGTAAGTGACAAGTTTTAATCCATATTCGTAGCACAATCCACAAATACACTCTCTTTTTTCACTCTCTGCCACAAATCACTTTCTAACTAAAACTCTGGTTAAGCTATTGATTTTCATATTGTGCGTATCTGTGTGTGTGTATGTGTGTGAATTGAGTGCAATTATCAAAAAATTTTAAATAATATTCCTCTTCAATCCGAAAAAACATTTAAAAAAAATCTCTAACAAAAAACGTCAATAGTTTATCCAATGAGTTTGTTTTCGTAGCGCGTTGCTTCTTCCCATAATATCTATATAGTTATACTCGTATACATTTAAATATCTAAGTCACTGCATTCACTAATAAAATCCAACAATATCTGTCTACCTTTTGTAGCGGAAACGGTGAATGAACTTGAAGAAATGATAACCTCGCAAAAGCAACTCATGGATAAACTGACGAACGAGTGTAAAACATTGACGGGCAAATTAGAGGATACAACCTACAGACACAAGTAATTATGCGCCATATATGTAGAGCACAAAACTGCAACAATTTTGAATAGCAACCTCTAGTAACTCAGTTTCCACTGGGCGGAGAAAGTGGAATTTAATTTCAAATGAAAGCCCAAGTGTTCTTTATGATAATTTTTGCAGTTTTGTTGATTTACTGCAATAATAGTGAAGAGCAGCCTCAAGTAACTCAGCTTTTAGCGAGCAAAGAAAGTCAAATTTGATTTGAAATAAAAGTTTAAGAGATAATATTGTTAATTTACTGCAATAATTTTGAAATGCAGAAGCCAAATAACTCAGCCTCTACTGAACAATGAAAGCCAAATTTGATTTGAAACTGAAGCTTGAATGGTGCTTCTGATTATTATTGCAGTTCTGTTTATTTAGTCAATCACTTCGCCATAGTATATAGAGCTAAAAGTTATAAAAAATCAGACGCGTTCACACAATATGAGAATCAAGGCCTGCCAGAAAAAAAAGCTAGCAAAAACTCTTGCAACACAAAAGCCACAAATTACGGGCACCTCTCGAGCATTTTAATTTTGTTTGAAATACACGAAAAAATAAATTCGATATGTAAACAGAAATCTTTAAAAAATCTACACAACACCAACCAAATGCCCCAGAGCCTTATTGGATTAACACGCTGTACTTCTTCAAACTTCTTTTGTGCTGCCAAAATGCAACAAATACAATGTAGAAGCGATGCCAACAACAACAAGCGCGCCAACAGCAATGCCAACAACAGCAACAACAACAATTGCTACGACAATAAACGAAAACGCAAACGCGTGCATTTCGCCAACTGTTGAGCCGACGAGGAAGGAAGAGGTGGATGATGATGATGATGATGTTGTTGGTGGTGGTGGTGATGATGTTGTTGTTGTAGATAGTGGCGATGAAATACTGCAGAACATCATCAAAAGCAATGAGCGTTTGGCACAGGAATTGGCCAAAATGCCGCCTTTACCCAAATTGTCAAGCTTTAAAAGGCCGCATAGAAACAAGGCCGAGACACAAACAGAAACGGCAACAACAACAGCAGCAACAGCAACAACAACACCAGCCACAGCAACAGCAACAACAATGGGCAGCAGACAAAAATGTTTTTGTCCCAGTTTTATGCGACACAAGCACGAGCATGAACACGTTTTTACGCGACGGCGCAGCAGCAGTAGCAGCAGCAGCAGTCAGCAGCAACAACAACACAGTGTTGCTGCTGGCTGCTGCAACAGTAACGTGCGCAGTCGCCACAGCAACAGTCACAGCAACAGCAAGCCAGCAGCGCGTACACAAACCACACATAGCAAAAGCATGTATGAACTCACCCTAGACACGCACCATGAACACCAACAACACCCAAACAGTCACAGCAGCAACAAATGCGCAGCAACAGCAGCAACAACGGCTACTGGTTGCTGTCTGGAGGGATTTGAAACGGAGCCGTTGCCTTGGCTGCAACAGCATCTAGTTTTGAATCAAACAATTAGCAGCAGTGCCAGCGATAATTGTCAGCACGTCTGTCAAACGCCGCTGTTGACAGTCGATGCTGAAACAACCGCAAAGGCATTTGCAACAGCAACAACATCGAGCATAAAACCTAAACTATACTTTGAACAGTTGCTGCAACGTGATTGTAGAACGCAAGCTTGCCACAAAAAGCCACGCCCACCCGTCAAAGTTGATGTGAATGTGCGGCTGGTGCCAAAGCAAAGCAAAATCAAAACCAGCTCAAAAGTTCCCACGTTGAATGAGACATTTGTCCAGGAGCTCGACGAGGTGGCGCATGCCTTGAATGAGACCTTTGTAAAGGACACACAGGACTCCAAAACTGAGACTCTAAACGAGACATTTGTCAAACTCGAAGATATAGACGAGCAGCTGGCGGAAATGGAGGCAGCAGCCGCCCTCGAACTGAATGCTGAAGAGGAGGAGGACGCTGAGGAGCAGGCCACCAAATTATAAAAATGTTAATACACCTTAAGCTACTTAATTGTTTGCAACAACAAAAAATGCTCTTCATTATCTTTTCTAACTTAACAAATCTGTTTATTATACTTTTCCACACAAAAAACTCTAGTCAAGAGAAGCAACAATTGCGCACCACAAATGAGCAACTTATGGCGCGTCTCAAACAAATTTGGGCCAAATATAAGGCACAATTGGCCCGCAATAATGGCGGCACTTTCTGTGAAAGCCAATCAGATCGTGAAGAGCATTTTTTGTCACCCATAGAGCCATCATCGAACAGTGCACTGAACGATTTAGAGCAATTGCAGGTAATTGGTTTACAGGAATTTGTATTTTACTAATCAGTCTTTTCTCTCTCCATCTCTCTCTCTCTCTCTCTCTCTCTCTCTCTCTATTTCTCTTTCATCCTCTCTCTTTCTCTGCTCTTATTTCTTTTATTTCTTTTATTTCTGTGCTTGCTCTAACTTCCTTTCTTTGTGCTTTCCATGCGTAGAGAGGAAATATCCGCTTTACAATCGAATCTAGAATATTTGTCTAATCGCATTTCAAGCAACGAAGAACAAATGAGTAAATTAGATACCACACCACATGATTATACTAGCTTAAGCGCAGGCAAAGGTAAATAGTTTTAGTCGATTTTGCACTCGCATACCCACACTTACAAAGTAATTACAAATGACGTGAAATATCACAGCAGTTTCAAGGAACTTGGCAGATTGTTTTCAACTTTTTTACCGTGACTGTTTATTTCTTTACTGACCATCCTATACACTTTTATTAACAATTAAACTTGTAATTTCGGTTACTAGTTCATTTATAGCTGCTAAGTTCTAAAATGTTTAACATTTTTTATAAAATAGTCTTTTATTAAAAAATAACAAAATTATAGCTGTTTTAAAGCAGAATATAACAAGAGAGCATCGAAGTTAACAAAATAACAATAAAAGTATACCAACATGTCGAACTGACTAGGAAATAGGAAGGTTCTTATTTCATATTTGAAGATATTTGTGATATTTTTATAAGACTATTGGTAAAAACGCATCTTAAGTTGAATCTTTAAAATTGTAAAACATTTGTAAAAATCCTTGAAATCAAATTAAAACACACAGTTCGAAAATTTTCTGTACTCAAATGTGCTTCAAAAAATTAAAAAAATTGTCCTCTAGTTAAAACTTTAGCAAGCAAAAATCAATCTCTATCTAATAACCTTAAAATAAAAGACAATATCGCTTTCAAACAGATTGATTAATAAGAAAACAAAATCAACAATAACTCTTATACTGCACAGAATTATTAGCTGTTATCAATGTTAACTACGATTGTAATGTGTACATATTTAACATGAGTAGAGTCAATTACAGAGACTGTCGATTCATAGAATACAAAATCTACAGCAACTGTTATTAACAGTATTCCAAGTTGTTAACACAGGGACTGTTACAGGCGATCGCTATGAGTAATTAACATGGCAAGCGTCAATTACAGAGGGTCTAACAGTTGTATTAACAGATGCAAAATGCGTGAAGCAAATCGAGCCAATTACATGACAATAACATAAAAAAACAATAACATAACGAAACAATAACATAACAACACACTAACATAACAACACACTAACATAGACTAAACAGTGGTAATTGCTTCGAAATAGCAGTGGTGTGGGGCTAAAAGGAAATAAAAATATTGTCGCTTTATTAGTTGGTAATTGTAAAAAAAATTTTATTTAAAATATTGAATATCATTGGTATTTTGCAATCACAAGTAGAAACAGATAAATATTCGTTTTTCGCTATATTATTTGTTTTCAACGGATTTTCAAGATTTCAACTAATTTTTCAATTTTTATTCAAAGTTTGATTAAAGGAGTTACTTATAAATAGGTAGAGAATGTTTTTATTTGGAGTTAAAATCTTGTTTCCTTAAAACAGCATTAAATTTTTAAAATATACCTTTAAATTTATATTTATCTCTAAATTCAATCAATAACGAGTGATCGGATTTTATGTTTAACGAAATGATAGAAAAATGTAAACTTTTTGCTAATGAATATTTAAACTTATTTATTAAAAATTAGTTTATCTTTTTACTTTAGAAATGCATTTAAATAGGTGCAGAAGAACTCATAAGAGTGCAACAAAAAATATATTACTGAATCGTAATGAGGAAAAAAAAAAAACGAAATCTTTAGTGAAGTGCGGTCAGCAGGCAACATATTTGAAATTAAATATATAATTAAAATTCTAATTAAGTGTAAAGTTAATTAGTTTATCAGATTAGATTAAATTTCAATCAGTCAAACTATTTAACATCAAACAACCTTTTACCTTTATTTTGTTGACTGCCCACACTAATGAACATAATTCTACGATCGCAGCCGCTTACGACTACCAGCCGCCCTCCACATATGGCACAACAACAATTGATCCCCTACAGAGCACAACAGCACTGCACAGCAATGTTGCCGAGGATGGCATCAACAGCAGCAGCAGCAACGCCTACAGCTACGATGCCTTGCTGGGGAAAGCTGGAACAGGCGCAGGCGCGGCAGCTGCCAGTGGGGAGAGAAGCAACGGAAGTAACGGAACAACAGCTGTTGCAGGTACTGCAGGAGCGCGCAAGAGCAGCATCAGCAATGGCAGCAACATCCTTGGCGACAGCAGCAACAAGTCACAGCAACAACAACAGCAACAGCCCAACAGCAGTTACAGCTACAGTGGACTCAAGGATAACGATGACGAAAATCTCAAGGACAACATTGGCGTGGGCGAAAAGCAGCAACAGCAGCAACAGTTTGAGCAACGGGAGAGAGAGCGCGAGGAACGTGATCGCGAGCTGCAACAGTTGCGAGAGCAGCGAGAGAAACGGGAAAGAGAACGCGAACAACAACAGCAGCAGCAACAACAACAAGATGCCGAGCAGAAGGAGTCCGCTGAGGACAACATTGCCGCCTACAACACAGACTATAGCGCCTATGGGAACTACGACCAACAACAATACGATCCCACAGCATACGATGGCAATGCCTATGGCCAGCAGCAATACGATGGCCAACAATATGGCTACGATGCCAATGCTGGCTACGACTATGGCGCCGCCGATTATGCGCAGTCTGGATACCAGTATGATGCCACGCCCACAACCACCACAGCCGAGCAGCAGCAGCAACCACAGGCACAGTATCAGCAATCCGCCGCAGAGCGACGCGTTTCCACAGACTATGTGCGCTCCCCACCAGCGCTGGCGACGTCCGCGCCAGCAGCGACGCCGTCCGTCACATCGCCACCTGCCACAGCAGCAGCAGCAGCACCAGCAGCACCAGCAGGAGCAGGAACAGGGGGAGGAGGAGGGGGACCGAGCCGCCCACAATCGCGCCCGAGCAGTGGCGCTGTGGGGCCAACAACTACAGCTGGAGCCGGCGGCAAGTCCGCTCTGCCACAACAGTCTGCCGCGTCAGCCGCCGGCAAGAAGTAGTTGGACTCCCGACTCAGTCCAAGTCGCACCATTGGACTGCCACGAGTTGGACTTTAGCATCAGCAGTCCCAGTCTGATGCGTTCCAGTGCCTCCAACGACGATGAGTCCTGCACCGAACTGGCCGATCTAAGCGAAACCTTCGACGTTACCCTCCCCACTTCCGATCTGAGCATATCGCCCGCCCATACCACAATCGTCACCGTCCGGCGTTCCAGTGCGCCCGCTGAGCTCCATCAGGACATTGCCAATGAAACCATCACCATTGAGGCACACTCCCAGCATATCCACTGAGCGTGACTTGGCCGGACTGGAGCTCTACTTTTAAGCACCTAACCCAACTACCTAATACTATATACTCGTATGATGCGATAGCTTTGCAAATTTTCAAAATTTCTTCACTTGCTATGCAATTTTTGTCCTTAAAACCCTGTTTGCTCAGGAAACGAGTTGCATTTGACAAATACGTACGTATTTTGTAAGAAATATAATGTCGCCTAGACTCGAATGGAACCTAAGAATAATAATAAATCAACAAATTTGTATTTAATAAAGTTTTGGTGGAAATTTTGATGGTGGGCAGTAATTCAATTCTTCTTCTTGCAAGCTATTGACAACTGATGGGGATTGAAAGAAATAGGCCCATCTGAGACTATCACGATCCCTTCAAACCAATTAGATTTCCTCTAAAAAGTACGAATATAATCTGAAGATACTCATTAATCTGTATTTTATATTTAAAAACTAAAGGGAACCTAATACTTGTATGAGGAATGGCAGCCTTCGATAATTTACCTTGGTTTATAGGTCTTTAATCTGAAATTAAATAAGGCTTCTTAGACACCCTCTTCCTAAATCATAGATGACGCTTCTTTTCATCACTATGGTCTTTTTCTATCGGTCCCTTTTAAATGTATGGTCGGTTCATTGCTCATGGCTCTATAACTGTTCCTGTGATGGTCCTCCATATCTCCATAGCGGCCGCTCCACGACACTCTATTACAATCAATTTTTCACAATCGTTTCTTTGCGATTTTCTACTATTTGGAATTAATGGCAATTTCTTCACCCCACCACCTATAACACAGTCCCTTCACCGAGGTCGCGCTATAATAGTTCCTTTTTCAAGGCAGCTGCTCCTCAGTTCCCAAGCTAAGTTATCTCCATCACAGTCTCTCAACCATTGATGGGTTATCTTTTTCAAGTTCGCTGTATTGCGGGTTCTCTCTACTACAGTCCCATCGCGGCAGCTCGACCTCAGCCTCCAAGCCAACGTATCTCCGGAGGAGTCTCTCAACCATTGATTGGTTTCCATTTTTAACAATCCGCATACCTTCTCTATGAACTAGAACTGGCCTGGAACAAGTCAAGAGGGATCGCCCCGCCAGTTAGAAGTCTAGCAACACTCCACACTTTACTGAAGGCTCGACCCAGGAACCAACTAGAACCAACCCAAACAGAATAAACATTTAAATAGCTACTGCTTTTTTCACTTCCAGTTAAACACCTCGGAGGTGCAGTTCCTTCCCCTTTATCTTGTCTAATGCTAGGGGGATTCCATTCAGAAGTGCTTCCTTTCTCCCGTGTTCATTCAATGTCAAGTGCGCCATTCATCTGAGCCATGTCGGCAATTATAAAGGCAGATAATCAATATAAATAAACGTTGGCCCTCATAAAGAACTGTTTCATCTAACGGCGGGGCTCCCGAATGGCTTCATGTCATGCAAAACTGTCAAAACAAATGAAAGTTCGGCCACAAAGTCAACAACCCCGACAGCTCCTGCCTGGCCATCGACTGTTGTTGTAATTTATGACAACATGGCGGGCAAACAGACAGTTTCAAAAATGGACTCCGACACGCACTTTATCACTCGAATAATAACAGTTTCGACTTTAGCATTAAGAGTAGCGTTTAGTCAAGTTTATTAAGTTTTATGAGTTAGCCTCTTCCTTCTAATCCTGAATATCTGTGTAGGCCGAGGCAATCAGACGCTTCCCCTTCCAGTTCCACACGTGCGTCACAATAAACAGTTTCGCTGGCCCCAGTTGTACGGCGCAGGGTTCCTTCTCAGCCGTGGTTAAGAAGCAAACCGTATAGAGACTCAGCTCCAGTTCGGGTGAGGTGCCGACTAGAAATGAATTGTAGCCCTTCGGTAGGTTGTGGAAGGTAGAGCGAAAGGCCAGAATGAACTGTTGCGGCTGCAAGGAATTATAGTTCAGATAGGATTGGTAGTGTAGCCAGAAATTGGAACCTACCCTGCCCAGATCGACCCGCTTCAGCCAGCCCTTGTAGTCCACATGACCCAGCTGTTCCTGCTCGGCAAAGTATATCCAGTTGTGAAGGCCCAGGACGCGCTGATCTCGGATTTCGGCCATGAAGACATGCTCGAAACTCGAACTGCCGATAATATTATTGCCGCGCGAGTAGGGCGTGAACCAAAGCTCCTTCAGCAGCTGCATTTGTGCGTCATAGTCGTCCTTAACAATATCTGAAATCGAGGGATATCGGCTCGAAACAATTAATAGAATGGAGATTGTATAATTTTAAAAATCTGTAAGAGGAAAAAGAGAAGATAATAAACAGGCTTGATGGATGTCCTGCCAGGCATTTAAAGGAATTGTGCCACAAGATAAATGTTGTCTTTATGGAGGAGGCTTTGATTTTGTGAATCGAATAGAAGTGTATCCATTGTTTATCCCAAAGGGTCACTTTTTTGGAGCCGTTTAAGCTCTGCCTAGTCTATGGTGTAAAATATTAATTTTATTCAAGCTAAATGTCTCTATATCTTATTGTTGGAAAAAAATCAAGGTGTAACCCACACGAACTGATGAATCAGAATAAAAGACGACTTGTTAAAATGATAAAAAACATATTAACTCTTAGTTTTCTTATTTAAATAGAATATAATTAGAAAACGCTTTCACAAAAAAAAAAATATATAATCAATTTGTACACCAATCTAAAATTGATCTAACTATATAGCTCCGTTTAAAATTTATGTACGTCTTCATAAAACTTGCTTTTAAAGTCTTTCAAAGTTCATATTTTGAAACCGAGAAGCATGAAGTATCGCTGTATTAGAAGCTATTGATCGATTTTGTGAATGAACTAAAAAAAAATCGTTTGCTTCAGAAACCATCCTAATTATAATATAGTATAAGTATATAACTATCTTCAAAAAAACATTCAATTATAAGTGTCTTTTAATAAGAAACTTTGGTATAACTAATAGGATATTGAATCGGATTGTTTAGCATATAGCTTTCACAGGAAAAACGAGGCTGAAGAAAGTCTGTGCTTAAGAAACTTGATTGTTTTTAAAAATATCGAAACAAATCGCATATGGAAATTTTTAACCACATACAACAGATAGCTGCAATATTTAGTAATAAAATAAAAAGCTTTTAAATTGACAACCCGTGAAGATATATAAGTTTATGGACCAGAAAGCTAACTTACAAACGTGTTTTAAAAAGCCTTGAAAATATCGTGAAAGGTTTGTTGTTTTTTTGTTCGTGACTATAAAAACTATTGAATGGAAAGACAAAGCTACAGTTTCTATATTCCTACTTTGTCTCTCTTTCTCTCCTTCTCTTATCCTTGCTGACTAGAGAGCACTTGTTCAGCTTTAAATTGAAAATCCGTGAAGATATACATTTGTGTTTAAAAAGCCCTAGAAATTCCGTGAAATTTTTGTTCGTGACTATAAAAACTGTTGAGTGGGAAGACAAAACTACAGTTTGTATAGTTGAGAATTCCCACTTTGTCTCTCATTCTCTTACCCTTGCTGACTAGGTAGCGCTTGTTCAATTTTAAATTGATAACCCGTGAGGCTTTATACGTTCATGGACCCGAAAGTTAACTAACAAACGTGTTTTAATAAGTCTAAGAAATTCTGTGAAAGGGTTGTTGTTTTTTGTTCGTAACTATAAAAACTGTTGAATAGTTGAGAATTCCCACTTTGTCTCTCTTTCTCTCATGCTCTTACCCTTGCTGACTAGGTAGCGCATGCTCAGCTTCATTTGTCGTGTATTCAGCACAGCTCTTAGGAACTCGTGCTGCTCTTCTTCGTGCTCGGGCGTTACATGGTCCGGCACGCTGACATCCAACTCATAGTTATTGAAGAGACGTCGCATCAAGGTGGTGGTTGAGTTGGAGTCCGTGGCCAGCAGATCGTTGTGCAGCACGAAGAGACTGTAGGGTTGACCTTTTAGCTCGCTCTCTTATTCTCTCTCTTTCGAAAGCATTTTCTACTCACGGTTCCGGGGCCTTGTCGTCGTGGGCGCCTGCGCGTGTCTTGCCCTGCAGATTCACTTTAAAGAGATAGGGGCTTTGGGCCATTTCCTCGCTGTAGAGCTCTTTGGAGAGGGACAGCATATCTTGGGGTGCCTTGGGCAGTGGTTTGCCATGAAAGTATTCTGAGATTGATTTTATTTTTAGGAGATATTGTGTTTCTGTATTTATGCAACGCACCATAGAAATGATAGCCCAAGATTCCGATAGTGACCAGCAGTCCGATTATGATAAAACGTTTTACTTTTTGGCATTTGTCGCTATCGATGATGGTGTTAATGTTGTTGTTGTTGTTGCTGCCATTGTTGGTTTGTTGTTGGTGCTCCATGTTGACGCCACTTTTTCTTATTATCTAATTGTATTGTTAATTAAACATTTGCCCCGATGCTGCTGTTTGTTGTTAGTTTTATTGTTTATCTTTCATTTTATCTGCGCATCTCACCGCGGCAACTGTCAAAACGGCACTGAGACTGAGACTGAAAACTAGAGTGAAATAGAATAGAAAGAAAAACTAACGGCTGCTGCTGCTCCTCCGCTCCAGCTGTGATCGCCGCCTCTCTCGCGCTCATTTGCTGAATATGTGACACGCACATACATACATGCAGAAGCGACAGTGGTGCCAATGTTTGAGTGTTGAGAAAAGCTAGAAAAAGTTAGAAAGAGCTATAGTGCAGCTGAAAGCTGTTATTCATCGTCGGCCAAAAGGACAATAACTTTCAACTCCATCAATCACTTACAAAAGGATTTCGCTTTTTTTTTTTTGTTAAAATATTATTATAATTGCAATATATTTAAGTATTTTGTGTTACAACTTGAACTCAATATTTGCATAAATGTTTTCTGAAATGATTTTTGTTAACGGGTTGATTGTTAGCCTTTTGTTTGAAAGTAATCTAACGAGCTATTATTTAAAACTAAGTTTCCTTTTTCCACTTAATTTTTGTATCTATAACATAATTTTTTGACTAGCATAATTTAATAAAATGAAATAGGAATAAACATTCAATGACTGATACATTGTATGGTGTGTGTTTCCTCTCTATATTTCTTCTATATATCTGTGAGAAAAAAAAACTTAGAAGTGGTTGACAAACAAATTATATGGGCAACAATTTTGTTAAATTAGATCTAAACCATATAACGTAATAACGTACAAGTATATAGGTATATAGTCAGCTTGAGTTGGATCTAATATATGCTCCTTTAGTATATAGAGTATAGACATTCAATTTTTTATTCTAGGCTCGTTTTTGTGTAAGATTTCAAAACCCACAACCGGCATTTTAAAAGTTTCCCACTTTCGGTATTTGAAAAACTCTAGAGCCTACTCGAAAAAGGCAGGTAAACTGGCAACACTGGTGCGCAAACCACTCAGCCACCAAAAAACACACACACACACACTCTCTCTCTCTCTCTCTCTCGCCATCTGCCTCACTTGCTGGGCTCATTTGGCGCTCTCTGGGGAGCATCAGTTTGTTTCCAGTTACATTTGCATTTTGTGCGTTTCAGTATATGCGTCTGTTTATTTTTTTCTGCCACACGCCGCAGTCTGTTTATGCATATTTAATTATCGCCAGTAAATATACAAACATACATACATACATATCTAAAGTTCTAATAAATTAACGCCGATGGAACATATGGTAAGTTGGCTTTGCAAGTGGTCGGCAAACATTATGAATATGCCAATTTGTTTATTCAAAACGCATTTGCCGGCAACGTGACTCGAATCGCATACCTTCTCTGTTATTCAATTTTTGTTGCTCCGACCGCGAACAACAGCTGCGAAAAGGAAAAAAATTTAAGAATACCATTTGAAATTAGAAATACATATACATATGTATGTACATATGTATGTACGTATGTATGTACATATGTATGTACGTATGTATGCTTGTGTGTGTATGTTTTTGTTATTAGTATTGCAGTCGCGATTATTTTGTAATTACTGCCAATTTCGTCGTATTTATCGAATATAGTCGCATATAAAGCCAAAATTAGCAAACAGGAAACTTCTAATATCTAATATAAAATAAATATATACATACGTTGTGTATAAATATACATACATAGTTATAAATCCATACACATATATGTAGGTTTCAATTTTATTTCGTCTTCAGTTCGTTTTCGTTGGCAAACAGAGTCAAAAACAGAACAAACCAGATTTGTTTCTGCCATGCTTTGAAGATCGTATGCCCTTAACAAATAAAATTTTAGTACAAATTCAGGAATATATTGACATTCCAATAAAAATTTAAAAAGTCTGCAAATACAAATTAAATTCTATTTTCATTATAGTGCTATAAAAAGCCAATTTTAAATTTGAGCAAAAAAGCAGTTTGTTTCAAGTTCATTTTCCCTTTTTAGAGTGTTCAGGTAGTCTGTAGGTCAGACTATATATACATACGAGTATATAGAGTTTTTTCAAATATTGTGATGTGTATATAGAGTATTACCATTCTTTATTTTATTATTTCTTTTACTCAAATTCAGGAATTGGTCTCTTAAAATATAAATTTTTTAAAGCTATTTCGCTATAAAAAATGATCACCGGTGTCCCTAATTTTGCTTCGAAAGTTTATTCATAAAAGTGAATTTTAAATGGTTTTATTCTTTTTTATTTAAGCAATTCATTCTGAAGGGGAAAACTCTTAAAAGTTTGATATGAAATTAAAAATAGAAATGTAATATATTCCTTATGCTGTTAAAACAAAGAAATGGGTTCTAGCATAAAATACAAAACGTTTTTTGGAATATTATTAATTGTTAATATTAGTTGCAGGTGTCGGTAAAATTTTAAAAATGTATAAAAATAAAATTTTAATTGATGATGATTATTAATGATGGAAAAACAAGAAATGTCTTGCCCATATAAATAGAAATTGAAAACGATATAAAAAAGAAAGTGTTTAAAAATAGTTCAGGATTTTTTCCCTATAAGTAATTATGTTTTTCTATATTTAAATCATTTTTCAATTAAAATAAAAAGTATAGTTCTGCAGCCCTCTCTATGCAAGCCAAAGCAGATTTTGTTAAAAGTTTCCAAATAGCTGAGGGACTCGCTTTCATAAAGAGATTGCCGATTAGCTCGCCAGTTGTTCGTGTTTATAACACTGTGTCACAAAGAAAGAAAAGCATACTTTGTTTGTTTGGTCTTCGATTTCAATAGAAATGCAGCCGAGCTTCTATTGAAGCTCAAAAACACTTGGCTCTCTGTGCGAATTCTTGGCACTTCAAGCCGGAAATGGAAAACATGCCTGAAATGCCAGATTTACAGCTGCGAATTGATTTCCAATATCAGACAAAACTTCAATCAAAACAGACTTTGTTGGACAGAGAAAAGTCAGCTCTTAACTGGAATTTATGATTTGTTTTAATGTTCTTACTCAGCTTCCATGGAAACACATTTCTATTGTTCTACATTTGTTGGAAATATCTTTAACAAAAACACAACTCTACTCTGTTCTATACTTTATCAAATGACTACGAACTACGGGAATTGTAAACTATTGTCACAAAACTCGTTTTGAGTTTCGTTTCTCTTCAACTTTTTGTGGCGCAGGAAATGAAGTCATCCAATTATATACAACAACTTTATTTTAATGTCGACTAATTCCTAGTCAATTAAACACAGTCGAAAACATGCAAAATTTTCATTATGTACCCCACAGAATGACACCAAAAATTTGTCAAAAGCAACGAAAGTCAACAATTATGCAAGACACGAGACACGCCAGGCTTATAGTAAAGAACATTTCAATCCAGTTAGACATAGGAATATAGAAACAGAAATTAGAAGTTATATAATTGTGCGAGTATGTATTGAAGTAGAGGACGTTTTAAAGTTAAATAAGTAAGTTAATCGCAGATAATATAAAGTTGAAGTTATTATGGGCTTTCTTTTGGAAATAAATAATAAATAAACAAGACTAATAAATTAATAAATAGTTAATGAATCAATAAAACAGGTGTATGAGAAGATTTTTAACCAGTATGCTGGTTTTTCTGAAGACCTGATAAATATATAATATGGAATAATTACTCCGGTAATTGTTGAAAGCGTTTAAGATAAAGAAAGAGTGGGAGAGGAAATAAACAGAAGACGCTTCAGTTTCAGATTAGAAACGCGCGTTATTTAATCGAAAAATGAATTAAATGATTTTTAGTGGGTATATGCATTCTTTAGAAATAGAACAGAATCAAGACATTAAACAACAGACAATAAGCTGCAATAAGTTTGCAATAACAGAGCTCAGGATGGTTTTCTTATATATCAAATCAAAAGTAGTTTAAAAAGAATTCAAATCAACACATTTTCTGTATTTTATTTGTAAAATCTAAAGCAACATCTGGGTATTTTCCTTCTAGCTCTAATATTTACGAACTAACTCTTAACGAACAATATAAGTAGAGCCTAAAGTATCACTTTAAATGTATTTATTTAATAAACAAAACGATCAATTGTATTTATTCCTTCCTAAACTTATTCTAGGTAAATATTGTTATTGTAGCTAGAGCCTTGGCTCGTTTACTCCTAAACTTATTCTAGAAAAATATTGTTATTGTAGATATAGCCTTGGCTCGTTTACTCCACAATGTAATCATACAAGTATACCTCAATATAAACGCTTTAATAATAACATGGCTTTTTTTTTAATATAAACAGATATAAGTATCTAATATCCTCGTATGGCTGTTATTATATTTAGTTGCACTATTCTTATACGTTCTACACGAAAGGCAGAAAGGAAATGATTTGTGGAAATGCATGCTATATTCTTGATTTATTGAAGCCGATTAAATGAACTTATTTTATAGACTCTCTTAGCCTTAGGTAAAACGAATTTCATTTCAATTCCCCCCCTCATTTAGAAAGCTACAAAATCTAAACTTTCGTCCTTCTTTCTCTGCTTCCAATTTTTGCTATCAACAATACATTTTTATACCAATTTATACCCAAAGGGTAAATATTTAATGTTGAAAATATTTAAAAAAATTCTCTTTTGTAGGAGTGGGACTGTAGCGTTCTCTCTTTTATAAAATTTTTTTAATTTTTTAAAATTGTTTTTTATTATTCTACATACATGTAGAGAGTATTTCAAAGTCGGTACACCCGACTTTAGCTTCTGCACTTGTACCCTTTCAATTTCTCTGCTCCTGCTTCTTTCTTCAACCTTTAGCACAATTGAAATCTCCAATACTTTCAGTTTTTCACTAAATCATTTTTTTTTTCTGTGCCGTCCTTCCGTTCTTCAATATCTTCCTTCTTACTAATTTTCTTCTTCAAATTGTGTGAAAACTAATTCACTGAAGAAGGGAGAACAGCACAGAAGAAGAATTGCTTTAAAAACTTAAGGAACACCCTATATAGCTATAATTAGCAACAAGTTTTAATTAGAGTTCCGAAAAGATTAAAAAATTTGGCATGGTTCTCAAATTGTTAAACAAAAATTACAGTAATTGTTGTTCCTCACATGCAGGCCGATAGATAGATAAATAAATAAAAAACCTAGAAGATATTTCTGGCACACATGTGCAAATTATCGCACATAAAGCGTAGTATATACAAAGATATATAGACATATAGTAGATGTACACTTCGTTGACCTGCGACTCCCCAGAACCATCAAGAAGCAATAAAATTTGTATACAAAAGTTAATTAAGCAATACAGTGGTGGTCGTATATTCAAATTCACACGACTCCCAATGTGGTAGATTATATAAGAGAGCATTGGACATTGCATGAACAGCTTGGAGCATTAATTTATGCCACAGAATTTACATTCGTAATTGATTAATGTTTCTATCTAAAACCGCGTCGTTGTCAGCCGAAGGGTCAAAAATGAAGAACTTGTCTAAGAAGCACGTGCACGCAACAGACGAATCGTGTATCTTTAGCTATATATAGTATAGTAGACAGGTTTCGGATATTATAGGATATACGTAATTTGTATGTATTTAGTTATGTAGCTTTGTGGGGTGCTGTTTGAATTTTTCATTAATGGTGCTTAATGACAATACTGGTCATTCGGTTTTCCATCTTCGTATTGGCGTCGTTATCGCTCGGCCGCTGTCCAAAACCGTTAAATAGCCGACTCGACCAGCGATGCTGTTCAGTTTGAATTTTAACAGCGTTGCGTGCGGTTGCCTTCAAATTTCAAGAATTAGACCTTTCTAAAGTGAGTTCCAAGTGTTGTGCTCTGCAATTGTGAAATGAAAACATATTCCGATAATAAACATTACACAGCATTATATTTACATACTATATAATAAATAATTGCAATTGACAATGTGGCGTGATTGTCTTGCTATTCTATAATCTCAAGAAAAATCTTTTTATCAGTTGTAGTTATCGCCGTATTGTGCATGTTGTGAAATTAAGTTTTCATCAAGTTTGTTTCATTTACTTTTGAATGAATTACGAATTTATTAATTTTGCAATTAATTAAAAAATGAGCACTGAATTGTTTGCATAGAACTCGTTGACTGTCTGACTTTGTTGCTCATAACAGCACTCATTTAAATTTATGCACGGTTATTTGTTAACCTTCTCTTTTATAAATAAATAAATAAATAACATGAATTTATGCAAATTTATATTTTTTGGTGAATGTTAACATTGCAGTGCAGGGGGAAAGAATTCCAATCCCTCTCTCCCTCTCTCTTTGCATAAAGTAATACTTTCACAGAATTGGGAAGAAACGCAGTTCTCTACTTCTGTCCCTGTTTTGGAAACTACATAATACATAGCAAACTGATATTTTGTAAAAATGTTAACTTTTTTTACAAAGACTTATAATAAAAACCTCGATTTATAATAATAATAAGCTACCAAGTCATAAGAAGATACTCCAAATCTCTCGTTTCCCATGGCATTTCATCTCATTGAAGACTCATCTTTAGTGCAATAGTGTTAACAGAAAGTTATGATCTATGGCATTAGCCCAGTAATTGTAAAATAAATGCACAATTGTTATGAAATAATAATAAGTTGTTCAAAAATATTTGGATATATTCTCATAGATATGTGCTATGTTTTCCATATATAGCTTTTAAGTATTGTTAGGTGTGTCTAGACTGTTAGGAAAGGAAGTGAGTGAGCAGTCAGAAATAAAGAACGCTTTTAAATGCTCTATTGATGACAAACCTTGGAAGATATCATAATAAAGCAGTTTTGCAAGTTCTTAGTACTACAAGTATTACTTTTGAATACATTCATATATCTAGCAAAGGTTAACTAAATGACACCTTCTTCTTTAAATGTGTCCCAAATATTTGTCTATATTTTATTTATATGAGGATTTTATATAAGAATATTATTGTTATTTTTTGAACATTTTGGTGCTAAATTTTTCTGAAGGAGCTCTTTTGAATCTTTAATAGTTAACATTAATTTTAAATAACTATTTTTACAAACATTTGTCATAAATAATTTTGCAAAATTGTTTGGAAAAGGCTAATTAGCCTAACTTTATTAAATGATTCCCAGAAAATGTAAGCGATTCAAAAGCGGCTGTTAAGCTAAAAATAATAAAGTAATGTTGCTTTTAATGCTGTAACACAAGGCGGTGGTCAATGCGCTCAAGCAGTCTCAATTTTTAAATGTAGTTCATTCATATTTCAAAACATATAAAAATTTGTTTGTATGTACATTTCAAAATATTTCCAGTTCCCTTCATCATCCATAATTGCATTTAATTTCGTTCAAACTATGGGCTTATCAGATAGAATTGTTTCAATAAATGTGTTGTCAATGGTCGATAAGCATTTACCGCCCATGCGCCTCTGAAATGTGAACTGTTGTTGATAACGACTTAGAAGTAATAGATGCGTGTGTGTCAATCGGGAGGTCAGAGACACAAACAAGCTGAAATCAAATTGAATAAATTGCTGTACAGTGGCCACATCACTTTGAATAATATAATAAGTAAACAAATGGCATAACAATAACAATAGACTAAACAGAAATAAACACAAATTAAAGGTAACTCTATATTAGCAAATAAAAGCTACTATTGTATCTGGAAAGAAATAACAAACAATTTCTTTGTGCGACTCAAATTCAAATTTTAAATAAACGTTGGGCAAGCTTAGATGTCACGCACAAAAGCTGCGTTCCAGCTTTGAGCGAAAGAGAGAGAGAGAGCAATAACTGTAATTCCTTTGAGCCCGTCGCTCTTTCAATATGCAGGCGGTCTACAGGTGGCATTTTATTGTGCAGTGGTAGTGAGAGTGAAAAAATTGCCCTACTTTTGAATACTCAGATAAACATGTTAGTTTCGTACGCTGTAAAAGCTGTTCATAAATCATTTTGCTCGATAAGTAATAAGCAATTTATTTAAATTTTGCACATATGTATACAAGTATGCGTACCCTTTCGGTGCGACGCCACTGTGCTTTTGCGCTCTCACTCTTTCTCTCCGTTTCTCACACACAAACAAGCTGACAGCTAGGCTCTCTCTTCGTATTGTGGTAATAACAGAGCAGATGTGGCAATAAAGGCTGCCTCTTTTGTTCTCCCACTGCGCAGTTGCGTCATAATATGCTTGGCGAAAGCAACGTGCGGTAGAGTGAGCGTGCGATAAATGTACGTTCTCTTTACTGTAATTTTTATTAGTGATTGGCGCTCTGCATTGGCACCTTTTTAAAATTAAACGTTTGCTTACTTACTTTAACAGCTGCACTTTACCGCCTTTACTTTTGCACCTGAATAAATAATATTCATAGCTCCAGTTTTCTTTATTGTAATAGTACATTATTTTTAAAAAGTCCTCAAATTCATTTGATATATTTCGAATTTTGCTTAAAAAGATGTGTTTTTTCATTTGCATTTATATAAGTTATAATTATTAATTTTTACGCTATAACGCGGACATAGGACAATACTTAAACAAGTGGGGCGTGTTCTCATTTCCAAATTTATTTAAATCTGAAATCTATAAATCCTGAAAATGGTCTTAAACATGCACTTAAGCATAAACTTAATTTGAATTTCCTTTGAATATTTATTTAATTATATCAGCTGTTGCTGTTGCTAAAGTATCTTCTTGACTCTTCTATAAATTAAACACAGCCTAAAACCTTTCCAGACTTGTTTAAGTGCAATTTTGTAAGGAAGTTGGTCTAATCTCGAATTTTACGCTCCAACTGGCAGCTATTCAGTTCAATTCTTTTTATGGCTTTTCGTGTTCAAGATAAAGATGTACACCTCAATTAACTTCATTATGACGTCACACGACGAACCCAGCGAATAACGTAACTGTGCAATGCGATACCTTCTAGCTTCTTTGTACCATGGCTACGTATGAGCGATGTGCGCGCCAAAAACGTGCAGGCCTTGCCAACAACAACAACAAAAAACACTCACGTTTGCAGGTGACCGTGCGTGTGAGTGTGTGTGTGTGTGCATGTGTGAGTGAGTGAGTGAGTAATTGTATCTACCTTGCCGGCAGCCAGCTTTTGAGAGTGTCTACGATTTGGCTCTGCCTTGCGCTCAGTTGTAAAATCGCCAGCAACGCGTGCGGTTCGAGCAGCGCGTAGCAGAGACGCCGACGTCGAGGCAGAAAATAAAACGTATAGACGTGCCGTAAACGCTTTCAGTAAAGCAAAACGAAAAGCGTGTGAAATTATGAAAAAACTAATAATTGGCCAATCGAAGGCAGTCCAATAGTGTTTGACCACAGAGCATGGGACTGAGGGCGACGGCTTAAGGATACACACACGCACCGTTCACCGCTTAACAAGTAATTTATTATTTATTTCAACATTTTAAATTAGATGCAACAGCTGATTTAAGTCATAAATAGTACAATACCTAATGCCTGCATGGATACGTGTAGAACAGCATAGCTGGCAGTACGACGCACAAAAGTGTGCTTTAAATTTATGGATTTCTGTGGTGTCCTTGCAAACAAGTGTCGTTTTGCTGCTGGCTGCAGCGATTGCTGTTGCCGTTGTTGTTGTTGTATTTGTTGCCATATAGTCGTTATCGTTAATGTCTCTGATGAGCACAGCAATGTGTTTCTGTGTGTGTGCGTGCGTGAGTTTTGTGTGCGTCTGTGTGCGTGTAAATTAAGTTCAAGTTAGAAATCAAAGAAGACACACAAAGTTGGCAAAGTTTTTGTTTATTTTTGTTGTTGTTGTTGTTTGTATAAATCTCAGTCAGGCAGTTGCGCATATTTAATGTTGTTTATCTTACCTTCACACACACGCACACACACACAAACACTTTATTTATTTATTTATTTTACGGCTTTGGCTCAGCAACCAAACAACAACAAATCAAAGGCCGTAGAAGCGAACGCGTTTGTATTTTTTACATGAAATATATTACAAAAGACACTTGAAGCTGTGAAGTGGGCGTTGGGGGCGTGGCAATGCCACTTAGGCAACACCTGGCTGGCTGGCTGGCTGGCTTGCTGGCCTGTCGCTGACTCTTTGGCTTGTCAAGCCTTTCCTCCTTTCCTTTCCTTTCCTTGCCTTGCCATCTGCCTGCCGTCAGCCATCCTTCCAGTTCACAGCTCTTGGCATCATGTCTCGCTGTCTAGCTGTCCATCAAGATGCCTTAATTTAATTAAGCGCTCAATGTCCTTTACACACACACACACACACACACACATAGGCATCAGCTAGGGGCACGTGCATTGGAGAGAGCGCAACGTAACGCTTGATTTGTTGCTGCCTTTTGCTGCAACACAAACACACACACACACACGCACACTCACACACAAACACACACACACACTTCCAGGTGTACAGGTTAGTTGTTGGTAGTTGGCCTAACCGCCCAACCGCAACCCAATGAAACCCACAAGCCATTTTGCCATGAAGGATAATACATACTAGAGCTGTGCGCGTGACCAGAAAATGCCTTCACAATCACAAATCAAAGTTCTTGGCTTTACATTCACGAAATTTGTTAATTTCTTTACCATTTGCTATACAGCTATAGCTGTGATCAAGTTTTTTTTTTAAATGAATGAAAAATTATTTCGAAACTACACGTTTTTGTTAGCTATGCTGCTTTGTTTGCAAATTAAAAGCAAACTTTTCTTGAAGTTATTGTTAATTATACAAATTATTTTACATTTTCTATGAAACATATACATAGTATATACATATACTTACATAGAAGTATAGGAAGCCATTTGTTTGTCAAACTCATTTGATGCTTTGCTGCAGTAAAATGCAACATTCCAAGCGGCAAAAGATCCTTATTGTAACAGCCGCTATATTCCAGGGTCATATATCATTTTTTTAACCAGTAGTAGTATATTAATCTTTATCTTTAAAATAATAAGTTAATAAATTAAATAGGCAAAATTAGAGAGAAGTGAAATGTTTGTTAATATTGTCTGTACTCCATTAAAGTATTTTCTTTTTTAATTCGCTAATAAATTTGAATTATTTGCAATCTCCCATTAGGTAGTTTAATTGTTTTACCATTCTCTATAGTTAAAAACTCTTGTTTTTAATTAATATTCTAATTGTTTCATTTGGTTATTAGCCATAAATGAAATTAATTCAATATCTAATTTGTCTTACAAGGTGATTGGCTTGATAAGAAGAATATTTTCTTTTTCGCTTTAAGCTTTTATTATTATTTTTTTTATTATTTTTTTTTTTAAATTTTCACACTCACGCACAGCTCTAATACCCACAAGCCTTCTTGCTGTTGTTGTTATTTCTCACTGGCTTGCTGTTTCAACTTGCTAGCTTATACCCCCAAAAGGGATGGGGGAGGCGCTGGGGGCTGGCAGACAAGGTTACCAACCGTTCCAATGGAGCAGGGCAGCCAACCCAGGCGCTTAATACCCTGCCCTCTAATCATAGCCCCGTTAGCCTACCCCAACACCCCACCAACAATTCAGCAGCAACAGTAGTGGCAACAACAACTACAACAACAATATGGCTGCCACCTGCTGCGGTTGCATTTGAGTTCATTTCGTTCTATCTGTCTGTTTATTATTATTTTTGCTTCTCTTCCTCCTCCGCTCACTCCCTCCCTCCTGGCATATCAGGCTGTGTGCTTCTCTGAATTGCGTAAGGCCTGTACTAAGAAAATTAAACTTTTTAGCGCGAATAAACAGTTAATATTAACTCAAATATTTGTCCGTATTGGCAATTTTTGTACATAAAATCAATCAATTGCAATATAATGGAATAATACAGAATTTAATGCAATATATTGAAACAGAAAGGAAAAGAACATAATGAAATAAAATGGAATATAATTGAATAGAATAGATAAAAGAATGGAATGGAATAGAACAGAATATAATAGAATGAAATTGAATAGAACGGAATGGAATAGAATAGAATAAAACGGAATAGAAGGCTTCGAGTTTTCAGAAGAAGAAACAAACTTAGTACCCAGGTCCGGGGAAACAGATTTTAATTTTAATAATCAGCTAGTAAGTCATATAACTCTAAATTATTCGCCATGCCAGCGGATATAGTGATATAGTCCCGTTTCAAAAGAAGGCAACTTGTTCCTTACATCAACAACTTAGCAAAACACTGTAGCTCAGCATTTAACGTTCAAATGTTTATTCATATGTTTATATCACTTTTTCCCGGAAATTTGTACGTAAACTTTGTTATAACTAGAAGTTGTCTTTTGTTAATAAATGTTGTTATTGTTTAAAACTCCAAAATGAAACTCTTTAACTCGAATTTCGATTTCAGCGAACTCGACACAAATTTTCATTAAAATTGTAAGCGAATGCCGAATAGTATCTTTACGGTACAGTCCTTATATACAGATTAGTATTTTAGTATGCTACTCGTATACTATATGTGTCTGCGTCCAACATTTGTGACAGCGGTTTGTCAGTTTGTAAATTTTTAATAAACTTTCAGCTTACATTTTCGCTGTTTCCTTGCCGACTGTCCTCTTCTATGGCTATAGCATTTGTTGTTGTTCGCAAACTTTACTTTTGCATACCACGCGACTTTGTTGTTTTTGTTGTTGTATAGTAGCTTAAGTCCTGCTATCATTAAATCAAAGATGAACAGCAGGCATACAGCAACCACTTGTAAGTTTCGTTTCTCTGTTCAGCAAAAAGTTGAACTGTGCAGTCCTTTTTGTTATTCATAAAATTCTCATAAAATATAAATTAGCAGTTAGCAGGCATTTGAATTTGTTGTGGGAATTTTAGGAGTGGGGGGGGCTTTCGAAAATACTTTTGTGGAGTTTTCCATAAATATTTATGTTGGCCAATTGCAATTGAGTTGAAAAGTTGTCTAAGCCCCAAATTGGCATAATTGAAATGTGCGGAATAATTGTGATTTGCATGGAAATGGAATTGAGATTCAGGTTTTTTAATGGAGGAGGAAACAAGAATGGAAGGACAGGGAAATTTACTAAGTATTCATAAAAGTTGTTGCTGTGAAGTTGTGTAGTTTAAAAAGATTAAAAAGAATATTTTAATTGAAAGATTAATGAAATGTAAAGAAAATTTGGAGAATGTAAGAAAATTATAAATCTAGTACATTTTTAAAATAGAATTCAGTAAAATAAAAAGATAAAAAACTAGTGATTAAATAATAATAAATCATTAAACAGATCAAAATATAGATGGTTAAAAAAATTGGAATAGATGGAGAGGAATAGATTGGAATTGAATAAAATAGAATAGAATGTAAAATATTTTCTCTTTTGAAATACTGTTAAATTTAAATGGAGAAGGATATTTATTAGGAATTGGAGAAACAGAAATAAAAATACATGAAAAAATATAGTAGAGAAACATAAAAATATACATGATATCGTGAAGAAAATATCTCCGACTTCTTTACTTATTAATAATACATTACATTAGATTTCTTTTAGTCATGTTTAAAAATCTAGATAACTAACCTCGATAAAACTCACAACTGTTCTTCAGAAAAAGCGTACAAATTGAACACCAATCTAATTAGGTTTTATGCCATGTTTTAGCTGCTAAGTAAACATGATTAACGGTAACCAAAGCTTATTAAGCTTGCTGTCGAATAATGTTTTGGTTTTTCCTTCAATCACATTAAATAGTTTGACAATGGGGGAAAGAAAACAAAAACAATATATCCTGATATGCAGAACTTGATAGAAAAACTTCGTGGTGACTGTAAAAAACTGCGGTAAATTGGAGGCATACCTATGACATATAATACATACATATACATACATATGTATGTAATTGACAAATCTCACTTCTCTGTTAACAGAGTACCTAAAAATGTGTGTGCAAAATTCACGTGTAGTTCCATATTTGCATTTTTTTATTGCTCACCCGCTGCCCGTTGCCCTCTTGTGCTGGCAAATGTTTGTGCTCTTGCTGTTTACATTTCCGTTTTCCGTATAATGCAACAACAACGACAACAACAGAAAAACAACAACAGTAGCAGCAACAACAGAGAATACAAATGAGAAGAATGCACACAAAACAAGTGGCACCAAATTATTTGTGTAAATGAGTGCGATTGAGCGTGCATTTTACATCCACAGAGAGCTCTTGCACACAAACACACATACATATGTAGCTGATTCTACAGCTGAGCCTCAATTAAAGAGAATGATTGGTACTTAAATGTCTCAAAGCTTTTTTGATGCAGGCATACAAGTAATGTAAACATTATAATGAGAGATCGGAAAAATAAAAAAGGAGAGTTAGATTGAACAAAATGAAATTGAAAGGAATGGAGGTGAATAGATTGGAATAGAAGGGAATGCAATATAACAGAATGGAATATAACAGAATGAAATAGGAGAGATTTGAAGCTGAAAATATAAAAACAAAACAATTAGAACCGAATAGAGAATAAATAAATTAGAGAATATAAAATATCTCAAAGCTTATTTGATGCAGGCATACAATTTATGTATATGTACATTTTAATGAGAGATCGAGAGAATAAAAATGTTATAAACGTATGTATAGTGAAAACTTTCGGAATTTATTAAAATTCTCCGCCTTGGGTAGATGTCGAAGGAATTTTAAATTTTTTGATTGCACGAAATGAGAGTCCGGATTGTAATCGTGTAGCATAGAAGAAAGCATTTTGCTGAAATGGTTTATAATTTACGCCATTTCTTAATCTCATCTCATCCACCTGTTGTTGAAGCTCTGAAGAAGTTTATTCGTTTACAAAATACGTGCTTACGTATGTCCATATGTATGAGGAAGAAAAAATGTAAACACAAGAAGAATTCTAATTCAATGAACAGAAACAGAGGAGCGAATATAAAGAGAGTGCATCGATTACAGACTTTGTTGAGGGCAGGGCTTGAGAGCGAATTTTGCCTTAGCAAAGCATACTGTAGTTATCTAAGTCTGTATGAGTGTGGGTGTGTTAGTCAGTTTCCCTTTCAGGAGAGCGAGAAGGAAGAGCTGAGTGAGTGAGGCTACGAACATCGAGTGGAAAGTAATGCAGTTATACACGAATATAGCGAGCGCTCACTGTAAGTAGTGCGTCTGTAGTCTTGGTTGCTGTGTGGATTGAGCAACCACAGTAGCAGATCTTGGTGGTGCAGTAGTGGGCTGTTGGGGAGGGGGAACGGCTATGACGGCGGGCTGCTGGGCGCGCATTTGACAGACTGGCGAACGGACAAAATGAAGAGGAGAGCAAACAAAAGAAAAGAAAAGAATGACAGACGTTAATTTGTAGCATAAATGTACCCGTAGTTGCGAAATTATTTTGCATTGTTGTTATACATAGTTGATGTTGTAGTATGCGTGTGCGTGTATGTGTGTGTGGGTGTGTGACTGACATGCCGAAGGCATTGACTTTTAGCACGTGTTGTTATGCGTTCCGTACACAAACTTATATAACCGAGTGTTTTTGTTTTGATTTTTAATTTTAGCAAACAAAAAAAATAATAAAGAACTAACGGCTTATTGGGGTTGTTGTTGCTGCTACTTGTGTTGTTGTTGTAATTGCTCTCAGTGTTCGCTCTGAGCGGCTGAACAATAAAAGGGACAGTTACTTTAAATTTTGCAAATGTCAATCTCAATTGCTTGCTTTAATGCCTTCCCTCTCTCTCTCTCTCTCTTTCCCGCTCTCTATCTATTTTGTTTCGCGGGAAAAGAGAGCAAAATTGTGTAGAATAGTAGAGAAGATTTAAAAATTAGATGTGTTTGCAGACAGTTATAATTTACAAACTATGTTACTAATTGAAGAAAAGTAAAACAAAAATCGAAGAAAAGTGATCCTAATATACTTACATACTCGTATAGTGGCTCAGAGCCTATTCTCGCCTCCAGAGAACTGCAACAAAGAATACATTTTTTGAACTTAACCAAAATATTTGTTACAGTTGAAACTTCTCGACCTCTAGTTTATTTAGCAACTTTTTTCTAATTTTTTTTAAGTCTTTATTGAAAACAACTGTTGGCGAATATGCCACGATTTCAGGAACTTTTCGCATGTGGTGTAATACATATTTTTATTGGATTTTTTATGCATATAAAGAAAATTGTATATATGCGAAAATAAATAAAAAATAAAATATATAAATAAAAATTTAAATTTTTACTCTAGTATTGAGGGAGAGAGAGAATTAACGCTTTAATATTAAATTATATTATATCCTATTATATTTTTTACAGTCTCTGCAATAATTTTGTGTGCTTTAGCTCGGACGAAAAAACTTAAAGAAAAGAAGCAAACATGAACAGCGATGAGGTGGCAGTGATCAAGAAGACCTGGGAAATACCCGTGGCCACACCAACAGACTCTGGCACTGCTATTCTAGTTCAGTTCTTGAAACGCTATCCTTCCAATATGGAGAAATTTCCATTCCGTGATGTGCCAGTCGATGATTTGGTTGTAAGTAAACAAAATAGTAAATACAGTTTTTATTTCTTTCCAAATTATGATATTTTATATTTATTTTATTTTAATAAATAATCAATGGGTAAAACGGAATATTTCAGAGCTTATAAGAAAAATAAATTAGTTCATTAAGTAGAAAAAAAAAGATTACCATATATTAATAAACTGCATTGGGATAAAAAATATTACATTTAAAGCTAAGCCGGAATAGAACAAGAATAATTGGAATTACTAGGAACAAATTTATTGTAGCATATCGCGAATTTATAATGACACAAAAACTATCCCCTTTTCATATGGAGAACATTGGGAAAAACCTAAAGCTCTGTATTTTCGAGTTCTATTGTAAAATCTGATTAAATGGCATTCTAAGGATTTCACATAAAATAATAGCCTTTTTCCCCAATTGGGGGCAAATTTTACAATATTCCAATTTTTACTAATTTTGTTTACTTATTGTTTTTCTTCGTTCCATTGCAGACCAATGCTCGATTCCGTGCCCATGCAGGTCGTATTATTCGCGTCTTTGACGACTCCATACGCGCCCTAGGCCAGGATGGTGAATTGGAGAAGCTCGAGGAAATTTGGACCAAGGTGGCCATGAACCATATACCTCGGCAAATAACCAAGGAGTCCTACAACGTAAGCATGGACTTGTTTCTATATTATATAAACATTTAATTATCCGTCTATTTATATATTTACAGCAACTCAGGGGCATTATATTGGAAGTGCTCACAGCTGCCTGCAATCTGAATGAATCACAAGCCGAGGCGTGGAGCAAACTGGTGGATCATGTCTATAAGATTATATTCAAGTTCATCGATAACGACGGCAATGCTGTCTAGAAAGTGAAATGATGAGCATCAGGATGATGAGGATGATGATGATGATAGGGAGGAGCGATGGGGAGAAGAAGTGTGGAGCAGTGGAGAGGTGGCGGAAGGAGGAGCGACGGCGGTCCAAGGCACAGCTTATGTATATTTAAGGATCATAAATGTTAGCTATGTTTTTCATTTTGTAATAATGAATATATAAGTCATGAAATATATAATTACTGTATGTCTGGGTAGTTTTTGTAGCTTTTTAGCATAAATATCAATTAAAATTCTCGCACAAACACAGACAAACACACGCACACACACACACACACACACACATGCACATTGCTCTGTAAAGCTTTAACCCATTGTCAGCCTTATGCACGTAATAAAAATAGGCCGCTTGTAGCCCGAACCATGAAATTTGTTGCCTCAAAATTTTTACGTAAGCGCCAGCGGGGAGCAATTTTGTGCAAAATTCAAAGACAAGTCGACGGCGAATTATAATGCAAAGATATGTTAATACTATACCATTGAGATCAGAGTTAAGCTGTGTGTAGAATAAAATTAATTTGTCTGAAACAGTGGTTGGCTTTATTGTTGAATAATTATTGATGCTGCTTAACACAATCGTAAGGCTTATTTGATTTATTTGATATCTTCAAATTATTAACTTCTTTTTGGCAAACAAGGAGTTCAATTTTCACAAGACAGCAAAAAAAATGTTGGGCATTGCAGAAATCGAGAGCAGATAGTGTGCAGCATAGTGTAACTTATCGCGGATATTTACAAAAGCGTAACAGAAATTATGCTTTTATTAAAAAATGAATAATATTATTAAATATATATTAAATTAATAATATTATTATTAAATGCACAGGGTTTTTAAATTTCTAAATAGTTGTAGGCCATTAAATTCTGGAAAATGAGCAACCAAATTATTTTCAAAGTCAAGAGGGTTCAACATTTCTTAACTCGCTTTGTATAGAACACAAAAGTTAGAGGAAAAATTAAATTATATTAAATTAAAATTTTTGCATTTTTAATTTTTTTGCTTGCGATATCATTTTAAAGCTATTTATATTTATTTTAATCAAATAATTAAATAATAATCTGATCGGAACTGAGTTTAATAGCATTTGGTTTTATTTTTAAGTAACCTATGCCATACAAGTACATCAGATTTATGCTGAAAAAACTATAGCTTGCTTGCTTTTAATAGAAGTGTTATTAATCTGCGCATTTCATATTAAACAGTCTGCTTGAATATTAATAATAAATGTTGTGAGTAAATCAGAAATCTCAGTAATGGACGGAAATTAATTAAAAGTAAATACCCTTGCATAATAAATGCTCTGTGCTGAAATGAATGACAAACTTTGTCAATCATTAAGCTTTTAATTATGCAACCTATTAGTGACTAATGACACAATTGCTGATTGCATTTCAGCAGCAGGAGCGGCAGCAGCCGACAACAAAGCATTTGCATACACAAAAGGACGAGCGCACTTAAAAACCATTTCCTGACGCACACACTCCAAAGTGAAAAACAGAGCAATCGCTGCAACAGCAACAGCAACAACAACAATCAGATGGCGCCGGCGGGTTTTCCTTTTTGTTTCACGTGGAAAAATGTTGTTCGTATTGTCTGCGATGCGTTGAAATGCGCAGCTGGGGCATTAAACGCTATTAATTTTGTGTATTTAAAGCTCGAGAGGCGCGACGAGCACTTTCGCAGGTGTGCTGCGACCACACGGCGTATGAACAATATTGCGTAGCCGACGTGTGCAACATTTCTGCATTTATGCAAATGAAAAAAGACGCTCTAAGTGTAGACAATTTGACAGGTTTGTGGGGCGCATGGGAAAAGAAATTAAAAAGCATACTCAACGCAGCAACGGTGCAATAAATAATCCGAGCTTGGCAATGCAAATAGTTTAGAAAATACGAATATTGCTGAAAAATATTAAAAGGTAATAGTTCGGTTTTATTTCCTTTGTATATAAATGTAAGCTGTGATTTGACGTCGATAAATGTTGTTTACGGATTGCTATTATGGCCTTTAAGGCGAATATTGAGTAAGCCATCCTCATGCCGGAAAATTTTGTTTGAGGGGGGGAAGATGCGCTACTGCAAAGCTAGCCGAGGTAACTAAATTAATGAATTCGTCTTCTATAAATAATATAAATATTGAAACTAAAGCATTTTTGTTCTTTTATTTGAATTTTTTCAAATAAACCAGGATAAAATCTTTATACTCTCTGGGCAACATTCCTAGTTCTTCAAAGAGTGTTTAAGTTTCTTAGATTGCTTTTAAATTAGAGTTTATAATTCATAAATAACTAAACAATAATAAGTAATAATGAAACATATTACATATGCCAATGGCTTCAAATTGTTTGACTTTTATATAATAAATAAAAACATTTCCTTTTTTGATTTTTATTGAACGAATACTGAATACAATAATTCATGTTTAGAATCAATATTTGTATCAATCAGCAGCAATTTAATAAGCCAACATTATTTGGCTGCGAGTTGTGAGTTTCTAACTGTCTGTTAAGCTAAGCTTGTTAATTTTTTGTTGTTAATTCAAGGGCTAGCAATATTTCTACAACACGGTTTTATTTATTTCATAATCGGTTTATAATAACGCTTTATCTAAATTATGGATTAGTCTGTCTATAAATTTTCATATGGCTTTTATTTTATAACACTATGATATATAAATATATAAATTTCACAAAAAAGTATTCCTAAAATATTTAAACTCAGCATTCCTATCACGGCTTTATTAAATAATGAAACTATATATGGTTCTGCGCATAGATAAGAGAAATCAATATACCAAGTTTTGGCTTCCTAGCTGTTATGATTTAAAGGATATTTGTGGAAAACGAACAAATTTTGATCGATTCGATCGATATATGTATGTATGTAGTATGTGGGTCTGCCACGTTTCCTTCTTTCTGTTACATACATTTTGCATAAAGATTAGTAAGCTCTTCACTCCATCGGGTGCAAAATAAAAAGTGCAATATTTTGCTTTAAAAAAAAATTAAGTATTGCTCTATAAAAATTTTGATAGACTTTACCAAAGACTTTTTCAATTCAAAATCAATTAGTCAAATATATTTTAATTTGTGAGTAGAAAAAAAAAAAAAATTAAATATGAATATAAAAATGTTGATAGACTTTACCAAAGACTTTTTCAATTCAAAATCAATTAGTCAAATATATTTTAATTTGTGAGTAGAAAAAAAAAAAAATTAAATATGACTATAAAAATGTTGATAGACTCTACCAAAGACTTTTTCAATTCAAAATCAATTAGTCAAATATATTTTAATTTGTGAATAGAAATTTTCAGCGTCTTTTAATTAAAAGACATTTCTAACAAGGGTCTGCCAAGTTTCTAGAGTTTCCAGATATAAGAAGTGCCTTTGTTAAAAAAATTTAAATATGACTAAAATAATTTTTAAATTCAAAATCATGTCAAGATGCAAAAATATATTTTAATTAGTGTGTAGAAATTCACGTAGTATTTTACTTAACAGACAATCCACATAAATTGAAAAGAAATTTAATCTCATGTATGTTCATCATTTGTTTAAGTTCCAACAAATCCCAAAAATGCATTTATTTTATTTTATTTTTTAGTGTGCAGCAGCAAGCAAGAGACAAAGTATTTATTTGCAAATTAACGGCTAACAGAAGCTAACAGCTGTTAAGCTGACAGCGCGTTAACAGCGTTACGAGCTTATCGTAACAGTGGTGTTGAGAGCGACAGCGCTGTTAACGGCGCGCAGTAAGCTTTCTTATCACTAACGGTCACCTGTTATTGTTGAGTTGGCGGCGTTGGTGAAAAGTGTGGGAATAGTGAGTGTGTGTGTGTGTGTGTGTGGGTCGGGTCGCCGTGCTGGGCCAGAGCTTTTCAATAGTTCGCCAATAATAGTGAACACACATAACGGGCCACATATCAGTTAAATTTCGGCAAGACGCGCGTATCGAGGCCGGCAGCACACAAGGCGCGCGTGTGTGGTTCTAACGGAAATTTTTGTCGATGTACGCGCTCTAAGTATGTGCGACCGAAATTCGCGCATTTGTTATTATTGTTATTATTTTTCGACAGCTCGTGATTGTGTTTGTGATTTTGTTCGTACACCCCTCATATCAGTTTGTTTGCTTTGCATTGGGCATATAAATGTTTTTAGTGAGTAAACAAATCGTGGCAAACATACAAGTATGTACGAACGCAGAATAGAGAATTGAAAAATGTTGAAAATAAAGTTGAAATAGTAGTAGAAAACACAAAAGTGAAGTTGAAAGTGCAAGAAATCTCAAAGAATAACTAAACTTTAGAGACAACAGCCAAAGGAGCAACAATTTTCAGTCAGCAATGCAAACAATTTCACATCAAAGCGGTAAGCTGGGCACAGAATTGTTTGCTTGTCCGCAGCACCGGACGGACAACAGTAGTCGATAATTGTCGAGCATTTAAGCACGGCTTTGGACGGTCTTGCAGCCTCCCAATTGGCAGTTTTGTGTTCGTGTTGCCGTTGCTGTTTACGTTGGCTTACTGGGCGTATCGGTGAAAAATAAATAAATAAATAAATAAATACGCTTCCAGCAAATGCTCAGGGGGCGTGTCTGCTAAATGCAAATCATTGCGAAATATTCTTTGCCAGCGAGGGTAAGCGTCTGAAAGCATCTGTAAGGTGTTGGCATATTGAAATAAATGTCTGTTAGTCGTGTACTTTCTTGTGGCATGCCCCAACCATTGTTATTTCTCTGAGTATGTGGGGCGCATGTGAGCACATGAAGTTGCCTCTTTGGCTTATGCAAAGGCTTTTCAATTGCTTTCCCACTCGCATAGATGAGTGTTGTTACAAGAGTGTTGCATAAAAGATGGTTTTAAAAGTTTAAGGAGTTGTAGTTTTAAAAACTGAACACTTGTAAGAGTTAGAAGTTCCAAATATAGTATGTTTTTCTTTTGACAAATTGCTGTTGAAATTTTATTCAACTTTTAGTGAAAACATTTGTGTACTTTGATCCGAAAAGTTTGCAGTAGCTTTAAACAAGCATGGTGTGCCGAAATACCTTATCGATCTTTAGTCTAGCAGGTCAGCAGGTTATTTTGTTTGTATTTTAGTCATTATATCTATTTTAGTTCAATTACTAAACACTTATTGCATTTATTGGTTATTTATTTATATTGGCAAGAAATTTCTTTGAGTTCTTTACATAAGTATGAAGAAAAATCATGTCCAAAATATTGTAATTGTTTCTTTTAACAAAGAAACTCCATATTTTCATTTAATACGACTCGAAGAATGGTAAATCTGAATAAAATAATCTACTATACATAGACCATCTTTGAACTTTCTTCACTCGACCAAATAAAGTTTCCCAGACTCAGACTT